ACTTAGTATTTTATAAAATTGGGTTGGTTAGGAAAAAAATTGCTTTTGGTATTGCAGATGGATTTAATATTCTATTTAGGCATTTAACAATTTCTTGGTTCTTAACGGTCATTTAGACTAACATTAAATAATTGAATTTTAGTTTTTAATAAAGTTTATTGAAAATTTATTTGAAAAAAAAGTACTAGTGCGATAAACAATCGAAAATGACAATGTCATATCGAAACTAATTAAGAATAAAAGAGGAAATTAGTAAATAAGTGAAGAATCTGGTATATAGTGTGCCACTTTTGGAATGCAGATTTTCCAATACGTAGTTTTTTTACAGTAATTATACGATTTTAATACGGTTCTTCGTTTTTTTTTTTAAGTTAGATTTTACACACACCATCTTGAGGAACTTCATTATACGGACTTGGACTTAAAAAACATATATTTTCGCGAGAACTCGAATTCGAAATTCTTCCAGATCTTTTAACACATTATATTTTTCATATACATATATCTAAGTGAAAGTAAAATTCTGAGAACATAAGTTGTTTTAACCTCTCGCACGAATACAGTGTTTCCCTACCTTCGGTAGTGAGGAAGCAAAATCAAAGAATAAAATTGAACACTGTTATAAAAAAAATAAAATAAAAGCACTCATTAGTAAGTTTTTAATTACAAAAGTAAGAATATATATATATATATATATATATATATATATATATATATATATATATATAGATAAACTATTTGATACAAACAGAATTTAATTCTATTTTATCAAGATCATAATCTCTATATCTCAAATTCATTTAGGCTCAACGTATTAAGTTATAAGAAGAGAAGGACGGCTGTGTATATATATCCATTAATCATTATCTGGATTATGTAAAATTGTAAGACAGCCTTTAATGTCAGTATAAAAGATTGCATCTGGGACTGAATTGACTGACGTTACTCTCTGAATCTGCATTTTTTAGCAGAACACTTAATTTAAAATTGCTATTTTTTATTTTATTTTTTCCTGTATGTGCAAAGTTCCAAAAATGCAATGAAGAAATTAAAATAACATTATTTTTGCAAAGTGATTTCAGTCTAGAAACAATTTACCTTGATATAATTTTTAAAACTTCAAACTATGCATTTAATTTCATTATAATTTGCCACGTTTTGGACTGTGCTAGCCTATTTTAAAGTACGTTTTCTATTTATTTGAAATTTCTTTTTTTCCTGTTAAAATTTAACAAGTCCTACATTAAAACAAAATTTATGTATTTTAGATAAGATCTTTTTTATATGTCAGTCGAGGTAAAAACTAAAATTTCAGATAGGCTGGAATGGCGAATAATAGACATATAAGAAATGGAATTTATGTAATATTAATATTCTAGTCAAAATATTTAATTTTTTTAAAGCATGACCGAATAAATGTGAAAATTAAGAGATGGAACTAAAATAAGAAAAAAACAGATTAAAATGTAGGCAAAGTTAGCTCAAAACATAATGTAATCTAAGAAAATTAAATGTAAAACGTTTTTAAAGGGTTCAATTGTTTTTTTCTGAAATTATACTGCAGTAATTTATGAAACTCTTTTTTATACTTTAATCAACTTCATGTTCATATTTGTGATAAATAATAAATTGAAACTTGAAATATTAAGAATTGAAAAAGATATTTTGTACAATCATAGAACAATTTAAAAAATATAATCTAAAAATAAGATACGAATTTTTGTTACTTTTTATAATATAATTAAAATATATAGTTAAAATTTTATAAAACGCATCATTGAACTATTAAAAACATTATTGATTTAACAGTAAATTTATTATCTTAATTAATATATATATCTCTAATACATAAACCCTTTAAATGACATAAATGTTAATATTTTACTACCAAAACCGTATAATTATAATTATAAATAAAACAAAAAAATATCACAGTTTTTTTTTTCAATATGCATATGTATACTATAAGTGGTACATACAATCACAATTTCAATATTTTTGTTAAACGAATAATTAAATATGAAGCACCTAATGTTAGAACCGTTAAAAACATAATAAAATAAAATGTATTGTATATATATATGTATATACATATTATACATATAATGTATATATATATATATATATATATATATATATATATATATATATAATTGTAACATGTTAAGATATATATAATGTATAAATAATACATTAGAGCTAATATGAAAATATATTTTTGATTAAAAAAATTAGTACTGTGTTGGTTTTGGCACATTTTTACTACATAATCCATAAATAAGAAAAATAAATAGTTTCTAATAAACCGGAAAAGGTAATCTAAAATAATGTAAAATTATTGTTATGAATAAAATCCTATAAAAATAAAAAACAATAAAATTCAAAATAAGAGAAGAAAATGCTATCATAATAATATATTTATTACTAGAAAAAGTTATAAAAAAATTAAATATCCAAAACGGCATTAGTTCTTAAAAATTTTACTATTTAAAAAAAATAACTTTATTTAAAACTGATAAAAAGCACACAAACACAAACTCAAACACAAATAAAACACACAAACTGACACTCATATTGATCATCCTAATAGAATATCAAAATAAGAAACTATAACCAATATAATAATTTAAATTAAAAAAAAAAAATTTTAATCAGTTTCTTTTGTGATGCCTACATATTATCTGTCTAATTTTGTTATAAAGTAAATTAAAAAAATAGATATGTTTATATGTATTTTTAATTTAATTTTTCTATGTTTATTTCAAGTTTTAGTTGTGTTAATTAGCTGAGAATTAAAAGAAAAAAATAATAACATAATCATAACATTGCCATGACGATTAATGTCCATTATTAGTTATATAACTATAATAATAAATGTAAAAAAAGGATTAAAATGTCATTTAAAACTTGATTGGTTATGCCACATAGCTTAAGCCAATATGCTTCTAATGTATTTTGTTTGTTACATAATAGATTTTATTTTTTACAAATATTCATGCTAATATTGTTGAAATGTATTTAATTGATTGAATTCTCAAATTATACTTAGAGTAACATGCAAATGTTAATAAATTATTATTGTATATATTTTAGAAATATATGCATATATAATGTTTCATTTGATTTTTTTTCTAAGTTTTTATAACACCTAAATTTTCATAAATTAAACTTTTTATAAATTTAAAAATGAGATATAAATTTGAATAATTAAATATAAAATTTTATTTGATTCAACTAGAAGAGTGAACATGGAATTAAGGAGGTTTTATAATTTCAAGGTCATCCAATAAGGCAATGGAAAAATTTACAAGGGCAAAACTTTTAGGCAATCATATTATTTATGAATAAAAACATGCTTACAAACAATAACAAGCGGTTGGATGCAATTTTATAAAAATTTGTGGTCATTTTGAGTTAAAATTTGCATCCCTACCTACTGACCTAGTGACTCCCAATGGAACTAGGGCATGGAGAAACTGGAACCAGGCAAATGTAAACAGTCAAAATTTTCCAAAAATTCTATAATTTTGGTAAACTAAGGGCCTTACTGGACACTTTTTATGCAAAGTACTACTCACATTTAGGAACCAAACTCAGTATGGAAGCCAAGGGTACAGTACTGCACAAGGTCACATGGAAAACCACACATTAAGTCACTATTAAACATGTTTTTAACTTTATTAAAAATATATTTCATATTAGTTGCCTTTATATGAAAATTAAAGGGTAAAAAGGCTTGTATTACTCTAGTCTCATGGACTCTCAGTAAAATATCATAAACCCTAACACACTGACCTAAATATTAATCTTATCATGTACAACCCCACTCTATGTGATAATAACAAATCAGAGGAACACATTTTTGTGTAACTATAACAAAATAGGACACAATAAGCACAGAAAATTGATAAAAACACTGCCTAATTATGAGAAAACACAAACACTTCACTATTTTTCACATTTTTTGCTCTATTTACAGAGATATTCCATGTAAATGAATAAATTTATAGAATTTTTGAATCAAAATTAATAGTTTTAAAAAAGGAGGGAAAAAAAGGAAAGTCTAATTGTGATTAGCATTCACTGTGTGGGAATCTGTGTCAAGAACATTTGCCCAAACCATTCAAAACTCACATTGCTATTGTATTTTGAATATTTTAAAACATTATTTTGAGTCATAAACTTTGTTTAACAGTTATTTAAAAAAAAATGATAAAAATAACAAAAATCTCAGAGAGTTTAGAAAGAACTATGAGCTGTTGATAAGCTTGGAGGTTATGTTTACGAGCACACTTTTTTAAGCTTGTGTCTCAATTTGTAGAAGATAAGTTGTGATTTACTTTGTTGTTATGAAGGATTGGTTTGTGTTTTGTTTTTTATTTATTTTAATCAGAGATTTTTTTTTAAAAAACTGAGTAAATTTTGTGGTTGTTTAAGATAAGTTGTAGTTCTTTATTTTGTTAACACTCCTCGGTATTGTAATATGGTCGGAAATGCTTGTAAACAATTACTCACAATGCAGATATAGAGAAGATGCAGAGTATTTATTGTTGAGGTAATGGGGTTAATACCGAGGGAGTTGTGCAGGTCAGGGTCCCAGGTGGAGGGGGCGGGACCGTACACCAACATGTACATGTATATGACAGAAAGGGTACATGGGCCGGTGTTTGCTACACATGAGCCGTTGCCATGGGTCGCTATGGGAAGGTATGTTCCTGACAGGTTATGTCCCCGCCGGGGGGGTATTTGCCCCCCTCGCTCAGGCCCACCCCCTCGAAAAGGGGGCGAAAACTCTCGAAAATTAAATAAATTTTGGGACTCACCTACGATCTGACACATGATCTTGGCCCACTTGTTGAGCTGCCGCTTCGCAGACCGCCTCCGTTCCTCGTCCGTGTCCGCCATCTTGACGGCTTACGTCACTCTGACGACACTAGTGCATCGGGAAATGCACTCGGAGTGCACTGCCCCCTCCCCTCTCCCCCCTCCCCCCTAGGCGCTTAGTCTTGGCGCTTTTTGAGTCTTTTCGGTTTTCGTCTCTCCCTCAAAGCCTCACCGTGCCACCTACCTGGATAACAGAAAGAGAAAACATTATTAGTAACATAAAAAATATTTACTCAAAAATTTTAAAATAACAAATAAAAGTTGTATTAAACATATATTTAACAAAACAAAAAGGAACCATACCAATTATTTAGAAATTGTATTTATTTAGAGTTCTGTACTAGTTGGCCGGTAAGAATAATTTAAAGAATATTGCACAAACCATAAAATAATAAAGAAATAAATAATTAAAAATTATAAAACGATTTTCTATGGTACATTGAATTTTTTTTATTGTTTTTTTTACAAAATTGTGATGCTTGAATGTAATTACAATAAAAATTACTATTAACAATTTAAAATTTGCGAAACCGAAAAAAAAAATTAATATTTTTTCGGTACTTGTAATCTACCATGGAAAAAAAAAAATAAAACTTTCTTAACGTTAAGAAAAAAAAGTATCGCATTTAGCCTTAAGGGTTATTGGCATTCTGGTGTTCTATTTCTTTAGATAGGAGATTTTTCAATTTTTTAATTTCTTTAGTCCTCTTCAGTCTATAAAAAGGAAAAGTTTATGGCAAAAAGCAAGTTCTTTATAGTTATAAATTTAAGTCATAAGTTATTTTAAAAATAAATTAAGGGTAATCTTTTGGTAATAACTATTTTAGAATGAATAATATGAAATTTCAACACTTTATTTTATACAATTATATCCCTGTTAGGTATAGAATCATTCCAAATTGAACAGTTGAACAAAGAAATTTACAATTTTTTTATTTTTAATTTAAGCCGGTGTTTTATGGATTTCTAATGTGCCCTGGTAATGTGTAAAGTCGTTTTATAAGATGAATGCAAGAAAATTTAAATAGTATCAATTTTTAAGTTTTAAAAACAAAAAGTTCAAAGAAATTGCCTCAAGTATGTCAGCTATTATTGCATTTATACGTGTTCTGTTATCATATTACCCGAGCAACCTCTGCAAATGGATGGTTCTGAAATTCGTGGAAGATATTCATCAGTAAACTTATAGAGATCAAATACTGTTGATGTCTAATAAATTGTCGCCCGTTCACTGATATTTCGGACTTCATGCGTTTGCTATGAGCATGATTGCATATAAAAATACTTCATGCAATTTAAATCCCATATTTAATATTTCATAAATGTATGATTTTCACATTTTATTGACTTCAAGATTGGTTTAAGTGCATTTAAAACCATCAAAAGTAAACAGATCATTCAACCTCTTTCAAATAAAAAAACATATTAATAAATTTATATTAATCGAAAGGTACAATCTATTTATAAATAATTTTTCAATTTAACAATGAAATAAACATTAAGCACTAAAAAAGACTTAGTAACTACAGGTAGGAAAGAAATGACTGAAAAATACGAAATAGTGTGAACGAATAACAATAGAATAAATTAATAAAAATAAACTGCTATAATGAAGGATATAGCAAACAAACCTTAGCTATGGAGATACATTTCAAAATATTTTCGAGCTTCAGACTGTTTAAATATCTGCCAACATCCTAAACATGGTTCCTCTATGAATGTATCTGTTTTTTGTTTTTTTTACTTACACTGTTTGATCACTTATTACACCAGAAAACGTTAATTCTAATGATGAGTGAATATAAATCGTTATAATACAATCCGAAAACTAGACTAAAATAGATTAATAGGTATTTTAGATTACTAGGTTGTAAAAAAAAAAAACTTTCACAATATAGAAAATCGAATTATCAGCATTCTGATAACCATGCAACGAATCCAAGTTACAGAACCTACTAAAGGAAAACAAATATGAATCCATGTATAACCATTCCTTAATTTATTTCAATCCTTTCCATATTCAGAGTTATTCATAATAGTAATTGCGCGTTGAAGATTATTGGAAAACAATTGCACGTATTATTTGAAACTACACAAAACAACGTGGAGCTATTCCATTCGTCTCTAATAAGTAGTTCAAATTGATCTACGAAAATCCCAGGTTACACATTACCTCGGCTACATGACCCCCATAGATCCACCCCATAGACCCCTCTCCCTCCATAGATCCGCCTACGTAACTGGGGATAATTATCTATTTGATGTAAAAAAGTTAATTTGACATGCAAGTCAAATGGGTATCTTGTGAATTTACATTTTTGGGTGTTTTATCGAAAGAAACAACCCCAACCAAGTACAGTTTCCCCGAATAAGAAAATTTCCAAAAAATAAGAGTAGTTACTCTTAAATTTTTCTTGTGGGTTCTGCTCCACACATTATTCGGATATATATGGAAATAATATATTATGTATATGAACCAGAAGTTACAATAATATTGAGAAAATATTTTTATGCTGAGCCATTTATCTTCTGATTTCTGCAGGTAATCACTTCCAATATAGTTAACGTTCTGACCAATGCTGACTTTACGAATTTCCGACTGTATAAAAAAATATTGGATGAAATCAAGAGTGTCCATCCATTCCAAGTTTATAAGGTAAAACGGTCGTATATTGTCCTAAAGTGAGGATGCCCTCTTCTCTATCAACATATTATGTTTCTCTTCTCTTCATAAAAACGATGAAAGCGAAATTTAAATTATATATCTTGTAGTTTATATAAAAATACACTTACAGTATTTTTTTCCATTATTTTTCTATTTTCCATAGTTCTTTTGAAAATTCACAACAAAGTAAAGATGTGCCCCCTCTCTAAAAATCTGCTCCCTCAAAATGTTCGTAACACAACCTGAACCATCTTCTTCAGAAGCACCAATGGATTAAAGAATATATTCATAAAACTCGACCAAACAAATTAAAAATAAATTCTTCATTTTTTCTGGGAAGTTGTATAATATTCTCTGTTTTTGGCAATGATAACTTGCAATTAAACAACAATTGATTTATTTGTTGAATTTACATGTTTACGTTTTGGGAAATTTACTACCATCTTCAGAACTCCAATCCCATCTTTGCTTTTCGATTCATGGCTAAAAAGAATATGACACATTAGACTTAAGGTAATTACAAAAGTAATGTAACAACTCAATTCTAACATGTATTGTAACATGCATTATTTTTATTTAACTCCTTTTCAGCCATGAATCGATAAGGAAACATGGGATTGTAGATCTGATGGAGGGAGTAAATTTCGCAAACATGTAAATTCAACTAATAAATCAATTTTCGTTTGAAGTTATTATTACCAAAAACAGAGAGTAAAAATAAAGTACGTGTTTTGACGAGCCATTTTAATCCCAAACCAGCTTTTTTTTAAAGACAGCAAATTCACTAAAGCCAATATTACAGTTGAAATATCTAAGGAAGATTCTAAAAGGTATAATGATAAAAAAAATGCCTAATGCTGCAGATCAAACGAGATTTTTCTAAAGATTCAACAATAATTTTTTCTCGCTATTTCAGGACTAGAAAACTGTATACCTCAAATAATAATATTATAGCAAATATCTGATCAAATTAATGGTTACTCCTTTCGTTCTGTAGAAGTGAAAAATATAAAAATAAAAAAAAAAAGTTCATTATTGTTAATTTAATGCTTGAATTGAACAATTTTTTAAAAGCTACTGTAGATCATATGTTTTCGGAAAAATTATAGCATATTTTTTTTTCTTCTATTACTTATGGATTGGAAATTACTAAAAAAATTCCTGAAACTCATTTTATGAAATAAGGCTCTGTTTATTTTTCCACCATATTTATTTTAATTTTCATAGCTACGTTTCGGCCGGTAAGCCATTTTATTCAATCATGCTTTTTGCATGTAGTTCAAAGCTTACCGGCCGAAACGTAGTTATGAAAATTAAAATAGATATAGTGAAAAAATAAACAGAGGCTTATTTTATAATATTAAAAAAATTTCACCTAAAACAAGCACATTCCTGAAACTTCATTGCACTTTAGAGAATTTTTTTCCCACCTTCATCTAACTGCGTGGCTAAACCAGAGAGATATGTCATTTACTCGGGAGTCTGTTAACACGTGATGACTTCTGTGTGCTCTTCACTCTGACAAAACTTACAGATTATAAAATTAGGTAATGTATGGCATTAGATATTATATAAAGGAGAATATTTTACTTGTGTTTCGTTTCTTTATGAAACGTAAAATTTCATAAGATTGTTCTCATGACATGTCAGGACTACATAGCGATGATTTTAAGTATCAAACTAATTCACTTTTCTGACCAGATTATGAGTGGTTTTATATATGTATATATTCTTCACTCAATAAGTATGATTTCTATATATTGCAAAAATCTACTAACATAAATACGTTTTAAATATGTTTTTGTGAATTTTATTTTTATAGCTGGAAAGCAATCTAAGAGCATTAAAATGACAACAAACCAGTTATTGTAAGTACACAATGTTCTGATATTTCAGATTGAAAATTCATCAGTATAATTAATTAATTTAATTCTACGAAATATTATAAATATTTTACTTAATGATTTTTCATTACAATCACACGATTTATATACATGACGAAGCAACACTTCCATCTGTCATATTGACGTCTATTATGCGAAATGATAAGTATTTATCATTCGAAAACGATTTATATCCTAGCACTTATGTAGAACGGAGGTTGTCGAACTTTAAAAATGCTATGCATAAAATAACTCAGTTATAAAACTAATACTGATATATATAATATTAAAAAAATCAAGATTTAGTACATCAATTTATCCACGATTGATAAAAATATATAAAGGAGTAGACGATAGTTCATACACATTAAGAGTACTGTTGACGTACTCATAATATATATAATAGATAGCACTATACATTTTTATTTAAATAAATAAATTTTAATATTTTAAAAGTTGTAAGTGAAAATTTATAATACCAAAATAGATGTTTAATTAGTATTAATATCTCTATTTATGATATTTTTCTGTTACGGCATAAATATTAATTTCATATACACATTTCTTAAAATTAAAAAAAAAAAGAAAATAAAGTGATTTAATACTATAATAAAAACTTTAAAATTCCATAAATAT